ACACATCTCCTGCTCCCCCTTTTCTCTTCTTCTCTTTCCCCTCGCTTTCTCTTCTCACTCTAAATTTCCATTTCTCTACTTACTATACTTTGCTATATTTCTTAAGTTTAAAACATTATTAATCAATGGGTACACCCAGACAGAAGGACATTTGTGCAAGTGTACCAAAGACTTCGAGATACAGGAAGTGCTCAGCCCACTAATATTCGCACTCATGAAAGACAGGTTACTGAGGAGCAGGAGGAACAAATTTTAAATATCGTGGAAATCAATGCAGATATCAGCACTCGGGAATTAGGCCGCCGCGTAGGACTATCGCATACCATAGTCCATAGAATCCTACGGGAAAATTTTCTTTATCCCTACCATGTACAACGAGTGCAAGCTTTGTTACCAGAAGACTATCCTCGCAGACTAAAATTCTATCACTAAACTTTGAAAATCCGGATTTTTTTAAAAACATTCTAGCGACGGACGAATGTACTTTTACGCGAGATGGGGTATTAAATTTCCATAATACTCACACGTGGGCCAAAGAAAATACGTATACCATTCGTGAAGGCCATTTCCAACAACGTTTTAAAATGAAAATTTGGGCGGGTATTTTTGACATCAGGTAATTGGCCCTTTCGCGTTACCCCCAAAGTTGTCAGGAGAAGGATACCTTAGCTTTCTAGCCAATAACCTTCCAGAACTTTTGGAACAGACCTTAGACATCATGCCATTACAACGGAGACATAATTTGTGGTTTCTTTATGACGGGGCACCACCACACATTTTTAGAGGCGTCATTCAGTATTTGAATGAACATTATCCAAATCGCTGGATCGGTCGAAATGCTCCTAATCCTCGAAAATGGCCAGCAAGATCTCCTGACCTCAATCCGATGGATTTCTGGTATTGGGGAGAACTTAAAGGGATGGTTTATGGGGCTGGTCCAATAACAACAGAAGCAGAATTTCGCGAAAAAAAAATTAATGCGGCTGAAATAATAAATGGACAACTTCGAGGACCTAGAGTAAGAAGAAAGTGGGTTCGTCGTAATGAAGCTTATGTGGAAAGTGGAGGACGATATTTAGAACACCTTCTTTAAATACAAAAAAGTGCAATGTGGGTTTTAAAAAAAAAAACGGCGTATGTATCAAAACTGTGTTCCCTATTTATAAGTGGATTTTTTTAATACGTTCAATAAACTTTCACACACCAGGTGCACTGAGACAGTTAGTGGTAAGTCCGTTTTTTTAATTGTTTGTATTTTACGAGTACATTATCAAATAATGAAATAATACCTATAATACCATTTAAATAATGACTATCTAACGTTCACACCCTATATATCTTAGCAGAAAAGAAAAAATAGTACACATGTACAATAGGGAAATTAACCGGATGAATTCAGTCAAACAGGTCCATATAATTAGTCCATAGGCATTCTCTCCCTGCTCTACTGATAGTTGCGGTCCATCTGGCACCATTGCCCCTTCCCATATAGTTCGACGCAGCATCGTCTACCGAAGCACTGCAGTACTAGCAGAACTATCAAGCAGAGTATTACGCCGGGAGCTGAGTCCAAATAGCAAAAGGAGACGCGTATCATTTCAAGTTGTAAGGATAAATATATGAGGAAACATATGATGTATGAAGTATGGCTAATAGTTGTGTAGAATTACCTGAGCTGAGAGTGTATACTTACATCAAAAAACTGAAACACACCTCCCCACAGTCTATAACCACCCATACCCCAAAAATGGTCAGGATCCTGTGAAACGAAAAAAAAAAAAAACGATATTGAGCGATTTTTGTTTTTTATCTTGTAGATCCTGACCGCTACTGGACCAATTTTCATAAATTACAAAGACTTTTCGTCCATGCGTAAAAATTTCATCCAAATCCGAGCAGTACTTTCCAAATTAAAGAGGGACCAAGGATCAGCGGACAGACAGACAGATCCAAAGATACACCGACAGTCAGAATGCGCGACATACTTGATGCCCTGCTGTAAATTGACACCCTCTAACCTAATAAAAGATTATAGACTCTAATATGGAGTATTTCACGTAATATTTCTTTTGTTGTATACCGGGTGTCTCAGAAAAGTGCTATGGAATGAAGCTGTATTTTTTTAAATAATACTGAATATTTCCAGTGAAGATTTTCCGATTCCAAACTTATACGGTTTGTTAAACTTATTTTTGTTCCTTTAGTCAAAAACTTTGTTTGTTTGTGTGTCATCTAATCATATGTATCCTGGCCCTACGCCAGATTGCATATTCGGGAAGATGCAAGCTGGTTAATGGTAGTAAATGACACACGAACTTAAAATTTTTGGCCAAACCAATGAAAATAAATATGATAAACCACATATATTTTGAATCAGACAAAAGGGCAATAATTTTCCCTGAAAATATACTGGGTATTCCATTTAAAAAGATACAACTTTATTTGATGGCACTTTATCAAACATATTTCATGAAAAACTTCATATTACACCCTATATACTATAACTTTTATATACAACTTTTTCTTCTGGAAAGTAATATAAAAAAGTTCGAGGGGGCCGATGTATAGCCAGGCGTCATTTTAGAAATGTTACGTGACTACTTCCTAGCCCGGTGCCGTAGGAAGTAAAAAGCAATTAAAAACTTCAATATGCCAATACGGATTGGGGATTCCTGGGATACCGCAGAGTTTCAAAATTGGTAGATTGCGATCGCGAGATTTTCACCTATTTGCGTACAAGTTTTGAGTTTTTCAAAAGACTATGCCCACTATGTTTGCTTTCCGTCGTCTGCTTCCAAGACTAGATCTATGTCGCTTTGACGAGTTGCTAACGAGCCCGAAACAACGCTGTCTGCGGCTGGTCATGGTTACAGGGTCGGAAATCAAACGTGCATTTCGGATAATTAGGAGGGCCTTTTTGAAAAAGGAAAAGTGAGATTTTGCAATGTGATCTACACACCGCACGATCTACGATGAGGGTGTTACTAGACGGTTGTAAATGGGTCAAACTAGAATTCCACGATTTGGCTAGGTCATATCTTAGATCGGGCTCAATTTTTTTCTTGAAGAGAACCTTTGGAGGCATGAGGCTTTGTGAAATTTTCGGGTCCTAGATCGAACAGTTTAGTCTGGAGACGGTCTCGAAGTTTGAAGGTTCTGCGAAGATGTGAATTTTCTTGGTACTCCTAAACTTTGAAAGCATTATACAGGGTTTGTCCGGAAAGTAATAGGACTCATTTTCTTCCGCCATGACTGTACTACTACTAGCTAACGAATGAGCGGCTGATCAGTTGTCTCCGAGCACTTGGAGAGTCAGGACAGGCATTTTCAGGCGACGTGTTTCTGTGAATGGTGCAAGCCGTAAATGCAGCATTTGTTAGAGCAGAGGTACGCAATTAAATTCTGTGTGAAACTCGGTAACTCTGCGACAGAGACGTTTGATATGATCAATGCGCAAAGTTTTGAACTCAGTATCCATTTAATTGGTCAGATGTTAAATTTACCAAAATCTGTGGTTCATGACATTGTGACACAGCATTTGAACATGCGCAAGGTGTGCGCGAGGATTAAAAGTGCTCACTGACGACCAGAAATTGCGGCGAGTGGAAGTGTGCCAAGAAAATTTGAACATGTGTGAAAGTGACCCCCAATTTTTGAATAACGTAATCACAGGTGACGAGTCGTGGATCTTTGAGTATGATCCCGAGACAAAGAGGCAATCTTCAGAGTGGCACACGACGGCGTCTCCTCGCCCAAAAAAAGGGAAGAATGAGCAACTCCAAAGTGAAAACGATGCTCATTGTCTTTTTTGACATGAAAGGCATCGTCCATCATGAATTTGTTCCTCCTAGACAAACCGTCAACGCCAAGTTTTACGTGGAAGTGCTCAGGAGACTCAAACGAAGGGTCAGTCGGGTCCGACAAGACATCGCAGCCGACTCGAAGTTGCACCACGGCAACGCCTTGGCTCACACCGGCTTTCTTGTGAACAGCTACCTGACCAAGGCCGGCATCCCAACCCTTCCGCAGCCGCCCTACAGCCCAGATGTGCCCCCCCCCCCGGAATTTTTTTGTGTCCTCGCCTGAAAAGGCCGATGAAAGGCAAGCATTTTGAGACGACAGAGGGGATCCAAGCAGCATGCACCGCGGCTCTCAAGGCTATTCCGAAGAATGCCTTCCGTGACGCCTTCAATGCTTGGAAATCGCGCAGGCAGAGCTGCATCGACGCAGAAGGAGCCTATTTTGAAAGTTTTTAAAGAATTGTAACGATTGGCTCAATAAATTTTTTTAACCCTTTCAAGCTTTGTGGTGTCACCATGAAACCACCTTTTTAATAATTTATCACGGCGCTGCGGAGTGGTTATCTGCCGATACCACCGTGTAAGAAGTAGCACTATATTGCCAACAAGTATGAAAAAAATTATTTACATAGGACGCTAACAGCTTGTTATTTGACATTTATCGATTTGTTTTCGCAGTGTGCAGGTCAATGGTGTGCGTGGTCATAAATTGAGTGTTTATTTCAAAAAATAAGGACAGAATGGCGGGTAAGTACTATATTTTATTGTATTAGGTATTGTTTTATGTTATTATCATAGGCACACGCGATTTTATATATTTTTATTGGTTGCTTTCAATAAAATTAAGGTGGTGTCAATTGATACCACATTGCAATCAATGCCTAATATTTTCGGTGATTTTGGATTTTTGCCTTGTATGTTTGGCAGTGTGTTTGTGTAATTAGTGGGCGTATTTTTCTGTTTTTGAGTAACTTGGTTGTTTTGCTGGGTTAGTTGATCTGCCGTCAGTTCGGTAATTGTGAAGTTTGCGGCGGGATGGAAGTCGATGGAAAAACTATTTAGACTATTGGTTGGTGGGCTACTTGTATGTTGTTGGTATGTTTGTTTATTGGTGGGTGTACTTTTGTTTTTGATTCAATTATTTTACTAAGTTAGCTGCTTACGTGGATAGTGACTAATTGATTGGGGATTTTGTTTCAGGGAAAAAGTGGTCTTACAAAGATTTGGAAAATATGACCTATGAAGAGTACAGAAATATATTTTTTGAGGACATACCTTCAGGAAATGAATCGGAGGATGATCAAAATGGGTCAGATGAAGACGTGCATTTTGCAGCACAAAAGCGGAACAACACCGTACGCGATGGTCGTGCAGTACTTGCAATGTCGGTTTGTGTCTCACTGACCAAAAAAATTGCTTTGAAAAATATCATAGCAAATAAGTTGTATGTTTTTACTTCAAACTCCTTTTTATAACATTATCTTAATTAAATATATGTTTCAGTAATATCTGCATTGTATTATTTTAGTGCTTGGTGGTATCATGGTGATACCACCTACTAATTCCTTTTTCTCCAAATGGAAAAAATTTATAAGCTATTTTTAATGCTTTTGAGATCTTATCACTTCATTTTTTTCAGCTATAAATGAAATAGCTTAAAAATTTAAAAATATGCCTTGAAAGGGTTAAATCGACTCAGTCCTATTACTTTTCGGACAAACCCTGTATATGATTATTCCGAATTAAAATTGGCCAAGGATGTCAAAACTGGTCTTCAAATTCCGATATGAAAATTCGTTCAGCAGATCCTTCAGCCAAAAGTGTTTTTTCGTTTAAGTTTATTCATTGGCTTATTAGACGGATGCAGACTGGCTATAATTCTCATTTTTTTCTGGACCTTGAATCTTTTAACAGGTCTTGGGAGCGAACTGTTTGATGTAGGAGCTTTATATTTTACAAGATCTGAAGCGTCCATAGGGTCTCTCCAGGAAACAAATTTAAGCCCGATATGAGATATGGTCAGTAATTTTGGTCCAAACTATAGAAAATTCGATCCACAGGCCTATCCGATGAATTTAAAGGCCCGAGTAAAAAATTACATTTATATAGGCGGTTAGGGTGGTCTACCTCCTTTACAAAAAAATATACTGTACATTTTTCGATTCGGAAGGCATTCGAATTTCAGCCTAATAAACAAGTAAAAAAAAAAATCGAAAAAAACCCTTTTGCCTGAACTATCTGCAGAATGAATTATAATATCGCGATTTATAGGACAATTTTTCTTCTGAATAGTCGTATATTATGAGGCATAATGCTTTCCTGCGGCTTGAGTAGCGAGAAAATGTAAAAGTTGGCAACACTCTAAAATTCACATTTTTGCCTGAAATTTCTTTAAGCTTCATGCCTCCATACGTACTCTAAAAAAATAAGCGCGGCCTGAGGTATGACCCGGCAAGCCGGATCGTGGTATTTTAGTTTTGGGCCACACATAAAATTCAGTTCTCATTATTATGGAAGAGATGATGATTTTGGAATTTTTTAGAGGTAGAAAGTTTTCGCTGCGCAGAGGCACAATTTTAGAAATAAAATAACTGCTTGGGGTTTAAAGTCCTGGCCCTCAGTAAAGTGTGAAATATGTTATTTTGGTGGTTCTGGAAAACACTCCAATTTTTTGAGGTAGAAAATTGTTTCAATATCTGTGAAAATGCTCATTCTTATTTTGATGACACAATAAGTGGGGAGAATATATTCACTATTCTCCAATTCATTTTTAACTTCAAAGTGTCCTGAAATAGTTCCAATTAACATTGAGAAAACCTGCTATTTCTAATTGTACCTCACATTTCATGCCGCAATGAAAAACGAGCGGCGATAAATAAAAGCCTCATATAAAAGCCTAATATTAAAAAGTAATTTTTTAAACTGTCATTTGACGCGAGAAAAATAGCCAACTCTCCCTCCTAATGATGGAAACGCCTCGACGTGTCATCCCAGCTAGGGCATCAGTGGAAAACAAAAAGCGAGAGTCGGAGGCTGCTAGGATAAAATTAATCGTTGCGGTTTTGGGAATCTTTTCCGTGAAAGTCTCGTGCCAGTGATGTTGGTGGATGTGAAATGACTGGAGTAAGGAATATTTTAGAAAAAGGCCTTATCCTGGAATTTTGTGAAGACTTGCCATCTTTTAGGTCTGAGCAGTGGGACCGGTCTGTTATTCAGACTCGATTTTTGAACTAGGAGTGGTATCACCCTTATCCTAGATATCCTCCTTTATACCCGAAGAGATTCCTGGTAATTGAAGTGTTGGAAACATGAATTCTCCATATGCGCAATGCTCAAAAGGTCTTATTTCAGGCTAGAAGCCCATTTTCACCTCGCTTTGTCCGCTAAATAAAACGTGGAGTGTTGAAGAAAATTAGTTTACTAACGTTCCGGCTACCTCCCAGCTTTTCTCACAATAGTGTAAATAAAAATAAAGAAACAACAAACTTTTTGAGGTAGAGAGAGGGAGAGACAGCAAGGGAAGCTTAACGCCGTAACTCTAGAAGAAAGTTATACGAAAAGGAAACAGAATTTACGATTTTTTAGGCATTTTGATCCTTGGCTGAAAAAATATCATTAGACATTAGATTTATTGACCACTCAAGATACAGTGAACATGTGGCATGTCATTTATAGGTACAAATGCAATATAGACACTAAGCATGCTTTCAATAAAAAAAAAAACATGTTAAAATGGATCTAAAATACAGCAGTACAGTGTAAAATACATAAAAATAATCTAAATACTTGTAACATAAAACGATACAATATCTGTTTGCTTTCCATCTCTGTGATCTTAACGAACCATATACCACGTTGTTTTATGCATTTTAGCAAGTATCAGTACAGTATAGGTATAGCGATTGGACACAGACAACGAATAGTAAACAAGCGAAAATAATAATATTTATTTGCTTTCAATTCAATTACAAATGTTACAGGTAAAATAAAAAATATGCAAATAAATATGAAATACCCACAGAAGGCAAAGCCTGTGCGTGGTGAGATGTCTAACCAATATTCAGTCTATATCAGTATAATTGTCATTATAGGTACAATAGTCATAATCGGGTCTGCGACGAATCAGAGAATGTCATATTAGGAAGTTCACTTGGTTTAGCTGATGCATGCTTGGATATGCTTAACCTTATGTATATATTAAGAACTTTGAAAAAAATTCCTTGACAGTTTAAAAAAAGGTCTTAATTGTTTTTATATATATTTGAAAGAATTAGCTGATGTATGTGGAGGCGAGATATTTCATTAATCCACTTTTTTATTTCTTTTTTAAACTGCATAGAATTATACTGTTTTAAGATAATAAGCAAACTATCATAAGCTTCGGTCCTAGGTTTGGAATGATCTCTGCATGACATTGACACGAGGCTTTGGTATATAATTGTTCTGTTGGGTATGTTCTTGGCTTACTATATGTATATTACCTTTAGAATGTACTTTTGTATCGTCTCAAGATTTTTCATGTGTGTCTTACACGCTGCTCCCCACGCGATGACGCCATACCTCAAATGGCTCTCAAATAGTAAATGATAGAGTACTTTCATTTGATAGAAGTTATAGTATTTCATAAGATATTTAAATTTGTAAAGTATTGTACGCAAATTTTTAATTACGAGATGTATCTGCGTGTCCCATTTAAGGGTAGAATCTAGGTACACTCCCAGATATTTAACACTGCGCGAAGAAGTTAGTTGTAATTGTTCATTTTGGTGATTCTTCAGCTTTTTGTTTAAATTTGAGTATTTGAGCATATATCGTTCTCATAATGAAAATGGGATGTAACAAGTTTTGTTGTAATTTACGGTTAAAAGTCTAGAGTTGAACCATTTGATAATCTTGCAAAATTCTGTTTCTGATAGAGTCTTTAGGTTTTCCCAGGTTTGAGAACTGTATATGATGGCCGTGTCGTCAGCAAAACCTATGATTTTTCCTCGATGTTGTAGAATATATAGTTCGTTAACGTAAATATTAAATAATATCGGTGCCAATCTGTATTGATTGTGTCCCTTGTGGTATTCCAAACTTCGCTGTTCTACCATCACTCAAAGTATCATTAATCTAAAATACTACGTACCGACCCGTTCGTTGGTAGCACAATACTATAGTTCTCGGTATATTTGAGTGACAACAACAACATAAGGGTCTCATCAATCAGTGGAGCACTGAGTACACACCATGCTACCAATATTGACGTTCTATGCAAAAGTTGTATAAATCAAACACATTTTAAATATTATCTGTTTACTTTCCATCTCTATGGCCATGACCAACAGTATACAAAACAAAAAACCCTACAAAACTTTGCATAGACTTAAAATTTTATCAAAATCCGAGCGGTACTGCACGAGCTATAAAGATTACCGACACTATAGGCAGACCGACGAAAAATGATTCTTTATTACCTTTTATCTTTTAGAAGAATCGTAAAATCTTAAAGAGAACTGAGGATAGTGAGAGCTTTGCACTCTTGGAGACTTCCTAAAAGATCTGTGATAAAGATCGTGCCAAAGACTGACTTATATGGATGTTTACAATCGCCTTCTCAATATTACATCGTAAGTCTGCCTCTATTCTTCGTTTTCTGCCTTGCTAACCTTAGAATACTTCTCATCGTGCTAAACCACGCAATAAATCATAGTACCTTATCGAAGATCAAATCTTCCTCCGTAATAAGAAGGGGTCGAAATACAATACGTATCTACTGCCCTGCAGAATGTCTCCGTATATCCGGCAATTATCCTCTCTAGTAATATAAATCTCCTTTAACCGCCCTCCGTTATCACGAGCAGTAAACCTTGATAATGCCCCGTTGAAAAATTGTAGCCGGCGAGATGACGTCGGTCTTTGGTGGAAGCTCGCCGTATCCGATCCGCAAACCGTCTGATCCGAACTCCACTCCAGAAGTTGACGCATTTTATCAAGCAGTCGCGCCAATAATGCACGATTTCAGAAGGAGATTCTAAGTAGGATTGTACTTTTCTCCATAATAAGTGAAGATTACTTCGATTCGACTTCTCCAGGCAAATTCGGTCCGCAAAACGGAAGTTGACGCGTTCTATCAAGCAGTGGCGACAATGACGCACGATTTCGGAAAGAGTTTTTAAGTTAGCTTTTACTTTTCTCCATAATAACTGAAGATGACTTCGATTTTAGTTCGCTGGTCTTCTTTAGGCGGATCCGATCCGTAAACGGCTAATCCGAATCCCATTCCAGAAGTTGACGCAGTCTATCAAGCAGTGGCGTCAGTAATGCACGATTTCGCGAAGAGAATCTTAGTTAGATTTTACTTTTCTCCATAATAAGTGAAGCTGACTTCAGTTACAAATTGGTCGTCTTCTTCAGGTGGGTGATCCGAAAACCATTCCACAACTTGACGCATTCTATCAAGCATAGGTGCCAATAGCGCACGATGTCGGTAGGAGAATTAATAGACCGATCGTCTTCAGGCGTATCCGATCCGCAAACCAGCTGATCCGAACTCCACTCAAGTTGACGCATTCTATTAAGCAGCGGCGCCCATAACGCATGATTTCGGGAAAAGAATATAATTTAGATTTTACCTTTCTACATAATAAGTGAACATGACTTCGGTTGTAGATAGATCGTCTTCTCCAGGTACATCCGATCCGCAAACTGGCTGATCCGAATTCCATTCCGGAAGTTGACGCATTCTATCAAGCAGTGGCGTCAATAACGCACTATTTTGGATTTCGGAAAGAGATTTAATAAGTGAAGATGATTTCGGTTGTAGATCGCTCGCCTTCTGTAGACGGACCCCGCAAACCGGCTGATCCGAATTTCATGCCTAAAGTTGACGCATTCTATTAAGCAGTGGCGTCAGTAACGCACGATTTCGGAAAGCGATTCTAAGTTAGTTTTTACTTGTTTCTATAATAAGTGTGAAGCTTACTTCAGTTGTAGATCGGTCGTCTTCTTCAGGTGGGTGATCCGAACACCATTCCACAACCTGACGCATTCTATCAAGCAGAGGCGCCAATAACGCACGATGTCGGAAGGAGAATCTAAGTTAGATTTTACTTTTCTCCATCAGTGGAGATGACTTCGGTTGTAGACCGATCGTTTTCAGGGGTATCCGACCCGCAAACTAGCTGATCTGAACCCCACTCTGGAAGTTGGCGCATTCTATTAAGCAGCGGCGCCAATAACGCACGATTTGGGGAAGTGATTCTAAGTTAGTTTTTACTTTTCTCCATAATACGTGAGGCTTACTTCAGTTGTAGATCGATCGTCTTCTTCAGGTGGGTGATCCGAACACCATTCCACAGCCTGACGCATTCTATCAAGCAGAGGCGCCAATAACGCACGATGTCGGAAGGAGAATCTAAGTTAGATTTTACTTTTCTCCATAAGTGGAGATGACTTCGGTTGTAGACCGATCGTTTTCAGGGGTATCCGACCCGCAAACTAGCTGATCCGAACCCCACTCTGGAAGTTGGCGCATTCTATTAAGCAGCGGCGGCAATAACGCATGACTTCGGGAAAATAATATAATTTATATTTTACTTTTCTCCATAACAAGTGAAAATGTCTTCGGTTGTAGATAGATCGTCTTCTCCAGGCATATCCGATCCGCAAACTGGCTGATCCGAATTCCATTCCGGAAGTTGACGCATTCTATTTAGCAGTGGCGCCAATAATGCACGATTTCGGAAAGCGATTCTAAGTTAGTTTTTATGTTTCTCCATAATACGTGAGGCTGACTTCAGTTGTAGATCGGTCGTCTTCTTTAGGTGGGTGATCCAAACACCATTCCACAACCTGACGCATTCTATCAAGCAGAGGCGCCAATAACGCACGATGTCGGGAGGATAATCTACGTTAGATTTTACTTTTCACCATAATAAGTGGAGATGACTTCGGTTGTAGACCGATCGTCTTCAGGCGTATCCGATCCGCAAACCAGCTGATCCGAACCCCACTCTGGAAGTTGGCGCATTCTATTAAGCAGCGGCGCCAATAACGCACGATTTGGGGAAGTGATTCTAAGTTAGTTTTTACTGTTCTCCATAGTACGTGAGGCTGACTTCAGTTGAAGATCGATCGTCTTCTTCAGGTGGGTGATCCGAACACCATTCCACAACCTGACGCATTCTATCAAGCAGAGGCGCCAGTAACGCACGATGTCGGAAGGAGAATCTAAATTAGATTTTACTTTTCTACTTAATCAGTGGAGATGACTTCGGTTGTAGACCGATCGTCTTCAGGCGTATCCGATCCGCAAACCAGCTGATCCGAACCGCACTCTGAAAGTTGACGCATTCTATTAAGCAGGGGCGCCAATAACGCATGATTTCGGGAAAAGATTATAATTTAGATTTTACTTTTCTCCATTATAAGTGAGACTGACTTCGGTTGTAGTTAGATCCTCTTCTCCAGGCATATCCGATCCGCAAACTAGTTGATCCGAATTCCATTCCGGAAGTTGACGTATTCTATCAAGCAGTGGCGTCAATGCACGATTTTGGAAATACATTCTGAGTTGGATTTTACTTTTCCAGATAATAACTGGAGATTACCTCGGTAATAAATCTCTCTTCTCCTGTAGGCGCATTCGATCCGCAAATCGAATGATCCGAATTCCATTTCTGAAGATGTCGCATTTTATCAACCAGTGGCGCTAGGTTACTAGTTTCTCATCAATAGATGGAGATGACGCCGATGGTAGAAGCTGGCCTTGTCTTTTCAAACCAGCTGGTCAGAATTCCTTTCCGGAAGTTGACGCACTATATTAAACAGTGGCGCCAGTGACGCACTCTACTAACCTGTGGCGCTAGTGACGCACGATTTTCAAAGTTTATCGGTTAGGTTTATAGTTTTCTCATCAATAAGGGGAATCGAATCCCATTTTGGAAGTTGACGCATTCTATTAATCACTGGCGCCAGTAAGTCACCATTTTTCAAGATGCTACGTTAGGTTTTTCTTTCCTCAACAATTAATAAGTGGAACTAATGACTCCTGCGTCTTATTTCCGAATCGGTTGATCCGAATTCCATTCCGGAAATTGATTCTATCAGCAAGTGATCTAAGACTTGGATATGGATATCAGATGAAAGGGCTTGATGACAGAAACACAATAAGCAAATTGCAATATGGCGATTTTCATTTTTTACCCCCCCCCCTCCCCTGTGATACAGCTATATACAGGGTTATCCAAATTAAGTGTCCACCATTAGTAACTTTGTTATTAGTGAAAATACAAAGTTGTTTGAATTAGCAAACTAGTAGCATTTTTAACGCTGGTAAAAATGAGAAATAAAAAAAAACAATTGAGAGTCGTTATTTTGATTTTTTTCAGTAAAATAACATTTTTTTAAATGGAAACCCCTGTATATTATATTTTTTTCTGTTAAAGCATCAAATTTTAAACAAAAAAGTTCATAATGACTTTTCCGCTAAAGTCAAAAATAAAGTCAAAATAACGATAAATATTTTTAATTATTTGCAGTATTATAATATTAAGACGGCTATGAAAACAACATGGCGTTCGCGATTTGACAGCATTAAGATAAGCGACAAATTGTTAAACTGGACATACTCGCAACTAGAAGGCTTTGGAAAACAATGATAAAATCAAATAATGTCAAACATTAGTGTAAATACTTGTTTATAAGCTTTATTGTGTCATTAATTTAAAGAAAAATGTTCTCCCATGAAGAAAAGTGTGATATGTTAGAATGCTATTTAGTGTGCAGAAAATCCTCCTTGAGAGCAAGGTGCAGTGAATTATATCCCGCTCGCATTCAACCGTATGAACGATATTATATTACGGTCCCGTCTCCTAAATAAAGAAGTCTGTAGTACCTCCGTTCTGCGTTTCCGGACCACAATTTTTAAAGAAATCTGCATCTGGCAACACCGCACCCCACTCCGAACCTTCGGGTGCCTCGCTGCTTCAGTCTTCGTTTTTGTGTACTACGGATCACATAGATACGCTATCGCTTCCGAAATTTATTGTGCATAATGGCGGACAGAAGTACAAAACGACCAAGGAGCTCAGACAGAAAACATTTGGATAGTTCTGAGATTAAATCAATGTTCAAAACAGTGATGCGGAGGTTGAGTGCAATCGAACAGGAACAGAAACGTTATCGTCGATCCCTAACCCCTTCGTTTGACTATTCGACGGGAAGTGATAATGATTTGGATCATTATGACGACGATGCTGACGCTGACGAGTTGATTACAGGTGAAGATGAGTCACAGAGTGTTCAAGGAAACAACAACGCTCCTGAGAGCGTTGCCGCTGGTAAGAAAAATTTTTTGGTTAGGAATTTTGTTGATTTGGTGATTCATATGTTAAGATACTATATTTATTTTTTCGACATTATTTGTACCTAGAGTGGTATAGATATATGTACTTATACTAAAGCAGCCCGAGTCTAGAGTGACGCAGGACATATAATGCTTCTGATTCAACTTAATCTAGAGTGATTCAAGTTTTTTCGGAAAAAACAGCCTGTGTCTAGAGTGACACGTTCCACAAGGCTTTTTAACTTAATCTAGAGTGGTTACAGTTTGTGAAATGTGTGTAGAGTGACACATGATGGGATGCTCCTTTAATTCATGATTTTCTCCATTTTATTAGCACCTATTGTTATCGTTATCTAACCTAGAGTGGTTATAGATATGCTATGCCCCTTTTTTCTTTTGGTGTTACAGACAACTTGATACCAACAACAGTAAACATTAGTTCTATTCTCGGTGAAGATGAAATTCAAGAAAGGGTTTTTTTTCGGAGCCTATACTTGAAGAGTTAGTTCCCCGCTATACCAAGGTTTTGCTAGGCGGATTGAAAGAGGAGGTGAAAACGGACCTTATCAAGAAATATCTTCCTCCGGAAAATTTTAAGGTCATTGTACCTCCTGTAATCAACCCCGAGGTCAAAGTAGCTGTTCAAGAAAACACATTGAAGAGGGACGCAAGGCTATCTAATCTACAAGGACAGGTTGCAGCTGTCATTTCAATATTAATAAAATTCACATCAAAATTGGCGAAAGAAAGTGGGGAGGAAAATATTAAACATATTGAGACTACAAATGACGCGTTACGCCTGCTTTGTGATGTTTTTTATCATGAATCAGTGTCAAGAAGGGAGCTTTTACTGCTAAATTTGAATAAGGACCTTAAGGAAACCTTAAAAAATACCACCATTTCAGAGTATTTATTTGGTAAAGAGCTAGAAACCACCATAGAGGCTGCAAAGAAGCTTGAAAAGTCTGGGGAGCAGCTGAAGATTAAAAAATATAGGCCATCTTTTTCCACCAGTGCCACTACTTCAAAACAGGGAAACTTCCGGCGCCCATTTGCAAAGGGAGTGCAACAGATGGGTCAAAAAGTTCAGAGACGCACTCCATCGCAAAACAACAACCCGAGAAGATCCAAGACTCATTACTATTCTCAGAGTCATCGTATCAACAGCAGCGTCGAGAGGAGACGCCGTCATTGAATGATTCAGTGGAATCACTATCACAGCAGCAGCAGTGTCTAGATGTGACACAGTTCTTAGAGGTTAGTAAGCCGTGTGGCGGATTACTACCTTTTTCCAATAGGTGGAAAAAGCTAGGTTTTCATAAGAAGGTTATTTCATATATAACTGGTCTAAAAATTCCTCTTATTAACAAACCCAGACAAAAAACGGCTCCTTTAGAGCCCTTAAGGTCAAAAAAAAAGAATGTGATGCTATTGATATTATTATTAAAAAATCCTTGCAAGAGGGAATTTTTTCTATAGTAAAACCCTGTAAAGATCAATTTATTTCAAATGTTTTTATCGTGCCAAAACCTGATGGCACTAATCGATTGATCATTAATTTGAAATCCTTTAACACATTTGTAGCAGCATCACATTTTAAGTTGGAAAATCACAGGACAGTTACCCAGATAGTTACACCAAACTGTTTCATGTGCAATATTGATGTGAAGGACGCCTATTATTTAGTACCAATACATGATTCACATAAAAAGTACCTACGTTTTCAGTTTAAGGGCTACATTTATGAATTTAATTGTTTGCCATTTGGATTGAGCTGCGCGCCTCTAATTTTTACGAAGATTTTAAGGCCAGTTGTATCTCATCTTAGAAAACGTGGGTTACTCTCCGTCATATATTTAGACGATTTTCTACTTCTTGGAAGAACTTACAAAGAGTGTGTAGTTAATACAAGGGAAACTATTAAACTCTTAGAATACTTAGGCTTTATTATAAATTATAGAAAAAGTTCTCTCATTCCTAATCAAAGTTGCGTTTTTCTTGGTTTTCAATACAATTCTATTTATATGACAGTGTCATTACCCGAAGAAAAACGTGCTAGGTTGCAAAAATTGTTACTACGTTTTATTAAAACTAAAACTTGCACCATAAGAGAGTTCTCCAAATTTATTGGAAATTTGGTTTCAGCCGCTCCAGCACTAAAATATAGTTTTTTGTACACTAAACTATTTGAACGTGCCAAAATGAAGGCCTTATATCATGTTCAGGGAAACTATGACGCAAAAATGAATATTTCCCCGCATTTGTTATCTGATTTGTCTTGGTGGCTTAAACACGTCACTTTATCGAATAATTCCATTCATAATGAGGAATTCGCTCTTGAAATCTTTTCAGACGCTTCTAAATCTGGGTGGGGGGCGTACTGTGAAGGTAAAACTACATTTGGTTTCTGGTCACTTCAAGAAAAACAAAAACATATTAATGAATTGGAATTATTGGCAGTCTTTTTTGCGATAAAGTGTTTTACGCAGGGTCTATCTGATTGTTATATTCTATGCAGAATTGATAACACCACTGCAGTTTCCACTATTAACAGATTTGGAAGCGTACGGTTTCCAGCTCTGAATAAATTAGCCAGAAAGATCTGGAATTACTGCGAGAGAAAAGATATAATTATCTTTGCATCATATATTAATTCCAAAGATAATGTACATGCCGATAGAGCCTCCCGTCAGATTCACAGAGAAACAGAATGGTCAATTTCCGAAGCTGCCTTTTCAAAAATTTCCAGTAAATTTGGTGACCCGAAAATTGACCTGTTCGCAAGTCGCATTAACAAAAAATGTAAACTCTTTATATCATGGTTTCAAGACCCGGAGGCTCACGGAATAGATGCTTTCACCTTAAGTTGGAATGGGTTGAACTTTTATGCCTTTCCACCCTTTTCCTTAATATTAAGAACGTTGCAAAAAATAATTAGAGATAAGGCGGAAGGCATTGTCGTTGTACCTCGATGGTGTTCACAACCCTGGTACCCACTATTTAAATCCTTATTGATACAGGAACCCCTAGTTTTTGGCCCTACTTTCATTTAGCGGGACCCCACACCCCTTATGGAAAAACCTTTCCCTGGTAGCAGGGCGGTTATCAGGGAAGCACTTCTACAAGGGAAGGTGCCTTTAGCTACTCTGGATATTTGTTTAGCTTCGATCACAGAATCAACTTTGAAACAGTATAATGGGGGTCTACGCCTGTGGTGGGAGTTTTGTGTTAACAAAAACATTATTCCATATGAGGTAGCTGTGGAGGACGTTCTGGAATTTTTAACCATTTACTTTGAGAAAGGCGCAACTTATGGAACCCTTAATTCTTATAGATCGGCCATATCTCAGATTGCAGGGCCACAATTTGGCCAAGATTTTAGGGTCAAGCGTTTCTTCAAAGGAGTTTTTAGCAAAAAACCACCTACAGCTAGATATGAGAATATTTGGGATCCCCAAATAGTATTATCCTATGTAAAGACGCTTGGAACTAAAACTCTTTCTCTAGCAACCTTAAGCAAAAAACTTGCGGTTTTGTTGGCCTTGGCCACCGGCCAACGTATACAAACATTAACACTTATAAAGATTAATAATATCTCAGTTCAATCTCACGTAATCAATATAAAGATACCAGACCGTATCAAAACATCCTCAATAAATAAACCGCAACCCCTCTTAGTTTTACCTGTTTTTGATAATGATCCGCAACTATGCGTAGCTAGAACACTATTAACATATCTTAGTGCTACCGAGAAGTTAAGAAACTCTTGTGATTGGCTTTTTATTACCTTTAAGAAACCACACAACAAGGCATCTGTTTCTACTATATCCAGATGGATTAAAGATATGCTAGAAAATAGTGGAGTAGATATGACCATATTTAAACCACAAAGTACAAGACATGCATCCACCTCTTCTGCAGCAAGGGCTGGGGTCAGTTTTGATTCCATAAGATTAGCGGCAGGTTGGTCTAACGATTCTAGAACGTTCGCAAACTTTTATAATCGCCCTGTCGTAGACAATTCTAAGTTTGCAAAAGTTATACTAAATTGTTAAAAAAAAAAAAAAAATTATAATAAACTTGTGTATCTTAAAATAAGTAAGGAGTTGAAACTTAATTTAGTTGAGATAGTAATTATTTTTAGTTACCATGTTATTTCAACCATTATTCAAATAAATTTATGGGTTATTGCAATTACTTTAAACATCTACAGACTTCTTTATTTAGGAGACGGGACCGTAATATAATTATAAGATCAAACGAACTTACCTTAAGTGATGTTCGATCTTGATTATATTACGGTCCCGTCGAAGTAAATAAAGTCCCACCCTGCCCTGTTATTATAAAAAATAATCAACTGGAATTCCCCTTTGCAACAACAACTTTAAAATGACTGAAGCAGCGAGGCACCCGAAGGTTCGGAGTGGGGTGCGGTGTTGCCAGATGCAGATTTCTTTAAAAATTGTGGTCCGGAAACGCAGAACGGAGGTACTACAGACTTCTTTATTTACTTCGACGGGACCGTAATATAATCAAGATCGAACATCACTTAAGGTAAGTTCGTTTGATCTTATAATTTTCTGAGACTTTATCGAAAATTTAGGGGCAACGAAAATGTTTTTGCTAAAACAAGGGCAAAAAAAGAATTCATAATAAGCGAGGCCACGGAAATTGCAGTTATTGGATATTTTGAAGCTTATCAAAGGATTTTAAAAAAATACAAATTTATTCCGTATAAGTACCGACCAGTTCAAACGCTTTTGGCAGGGGATCCAGAGAGAAGACTTGTTTTTTGCCATTGGTATCTTAGCTTCTGTCGCCAAAATGTAAATAACTTTCGTTACCTTTTATGGACAGATGAATCAAATTTTTCAAATTCTGGAATGTTTAATAGAAAAAACCACCATTATTGGTCAAGAGAAAATCTTTTGTTAGTACATCCAAGAGGCCCACAAGTCCGTTTCAGTTTCAACGTTTGGTGCGGTATAATTGGTTCAAAAATTGTTGGCCCGTTCTTTTATGAGGGAACCCTAACTGGTGAAAGATATGTGGAATTTATGTCAGAAATTCTGACTAATTTCTTAGACGAATTGGATCTTATAAGTAGACATCATCTGCATTTTCAGCAAGATGGCGCACCTGCCCACAACTCCAGAGGTACTTATCATTTTCTAAGTACTACTTTTAATGATCAGTGGATAGGAACAAATGGCCCAATACAGTGGCCTCCCAGATCACCAGATCTAAACCCACTTGATTACTTCTTGTGGGGTTACTTAAAGAACCAAATTTACAAGCGAAGGTACGATAACCTTGACGCGTTTAAGACTGCAGTTAGGGAAAAGATAACCCAGATAGATGGTAGGACCATACTTAAGACAGTTCGGGCAGTTGAAAAACGTGCCCAAAAATGTATTGAAGGACAAGGTGGTGTTTTCGAGCATCTTCTTTAAAAAAATTGTTATTGTATTTTGTAAGATTATAAGTTGATGTTGAAAATAAAGTTTGTCGATACAATTTAATTGTTTCAGATTGGAGGCCATAACTTCAACAATTTGTAACCTAGGAGAAAAGTTATTGTAAGCTTTTTTGTTTAAAATTTGATGCTTTAACAGAAAAAAATATAATATACAGGGGTTTCCATTTAAAAAAATGTTATTTTACTGAAAAAAATCAAAATAACGACTCTCAATTGTTTTTTTTTATTTCTCATTTTTACCAGCGTTAAAAATGCTACTAGTTTGCTAATTCAAACAACTTTGTATTTTCACTAATAACAAAGTTACTAATGGTGGACACTTAATTTGGATAACCCTGTATATAATAAAAGGGCTTGGTGAGAGTCACGCAATAAGCAAAGTAATATTCCAATACAATATGACGACCGCCCAACGATGGCGTTTATAATTATCATAGTCAGCCCTATAATATACGTATCAAATTAAAGGGCTTTATGAGAAAAACATAACGAGCAAGCTGATGTGATTCTAAATCCAATATGGCGGCTATCGCAAAATGGAGATTTATAATTTGCAAAGAGGCTTCATCAGTCCATAAAACATAGCGTAAAAAATTTGGTTGTGCAGCGATTTGATGAAGAAGCCATTGACAAAATTGAACTCTAGGATGATAATCGGCTGCAGTCAATCCTTGAACGTTCTGGAAGTGGTAAGGATAAAGTTGTTGCTCGTGTAGCACCCGCCAGATGGAAGCGTTACTCGTATTCATATCCTCCGCAATGTGACGTGTGCTACTTGATGGATCGTCGGCAACTCGCTGGAGGACCTCTTCTTCAAATTCGACCGTTCTTACTGTACGCGTAACAACAATAAAATAAACTTTTTGTATCCCGGATGCTGTCGTTCGGGAGCTTGTTGCTCCGTATGCGAAATGCATGTCCGCCAATTCTTGATTGGTAAAGTTTTCCATTAGCAACAATTAATTTTTGTTAAATTCTTGCAAACTAAGGCGGTATGGAATGGCAGCTACAAAAAACAATCTCTGTTATCGTCTTTAGAGATAGCA